AAATAAATAAAATTAAAAAAAAATAGTACACATTTTCCACTTGTAGAAGCTAAAATAATTGATCTCATAGAAGTAGAATAGAATAGTATTTACTAAAGCCCAGAAAGGGTGGGGGCAGAGACACAGAGGTTGAATAATAGGTTAAATCAAGATAAAGTGAGGAGTAGCTACTACTAGTGTTAGATAGCGCAGCAGAATAATTATAGTCTATAACAAGTTTTCTTTCTTTTTTTTTTTTTTTTGTATTTTAGGGAAGAGTCTACAGGGTGTTCAGGGTCTCACTACTATATTGGACTTATAGTAATCCACTTATTTACAGCCTCTCAAGAGCTGTGGTTACAGGCATGTGCCACCATACCCAATCTCAATTGCCATCTCAGCATGCCCTGGGGGGTGGGACCAGCACAGCAGGCCCAGGGATCGAACCCCTGGCTCCTGCACCTACTTGCAGGCACTTTAATCCACTGAGCTATTTGGCCGACCTTAACAAGTTTTCATATATATCAACATGAGTAGAAGAGAGGAATCTGAAGTTTTCTCAAACACAGAAATAATCATTTGACAAGTTAGATATGTTAATTACCCTGGTTTGATCATTATCCCACTTTATACATATGTTGAATTATAATGCATTCCCCAAATATGTATGAAAATTATGCATCAGTTAAAATTGAAACTTGCTAGGCTGGCCAGATAGCTCAGCAGACTAAAGCGCCTGCTTAGTTAGGCAAAGCGCAGCAGCCAGGGTTCAATCCCTGCCTCCTAGGGTGCACTGGAACAGCAATTGAGACTGGGTGCCTGTACCCCCAGCACTTGTGAGGCTGAAAACAGGAGAATCACTGTGAGTCCGATCTATGTAGTGAGACCCTGTAGACCCTGCAGATCCTGTACCAGATACATAAAAAAATTAAATTAAAAATTGTATTTAAGAATGATAGTCACACTAAGAAGAATATACGCAGTGTATTATTTGTTGAAACTGTACTTCCGATTTGATTTGAAACTGTCTCATTGCTATCTGTTTATCAATAAAACTTTGAAAAAAAAAAAAAATGAAAAAAAAAAGAATGATAGTCATTATATTGAAGCTAGATTGTGCAGAATCTTTGGGAACAGTCATACTAGCTTTACACTATTTTCTGTTATGATCAAGCAAGCAAGATGCTACTTCTCATTGTTTATGAGGGTACCATCTATAGGGTCTGAAAGGAAGGCTACCTCACAAAATATTTAAACCAAATATTTAGGATACTATACACAATAACTCCAACTCAGTTTTACAAGATAAATAGCCTAGTAAAGAGGTAACTGCCATTAGTTCTGGTGGGCATGTGTTTCCCAGGATGCTTTAGGATAGCGTTCCTCCTCTATTCAACCTCAGAACCTGAAGGCTGTCATTTCTCCTTCCAGGGCTGGACTGCCTGACTAGAAACAGAGGAAGGGAAAATGAAAGGTGGTATAGCAATAATTTAAGTGAAAGGAAGGGGTAATAGAGTTGTGATCATGCCTGTAAGTTTTGAAATATCTAAAGTTACATTTTAAATTTGAACCTATTGAAGTAGAAAATCATTATATCAGTCTTTGACAGTCACACTCTCCAATAAAAATAGTAGGTGATAGGTTTTTGATATCACAGTAAAGAGAAAGAAAAGATAAAAGAAACCTTTATTAACTCCAAAGACACAGAGGGGATTGAAGGCAGATGGGGCAGCTAGATCCTCTAGCCTGAGACAAAGAAAACTGAGGCTTTTATGGATTTTTGTTAAGTTTGAGGAGGATGTTTAGAAATCACTGAGGAGCTGATTGGGGTCTTCCCAATAGCAGTGGGAAAGGTGAAAGGTTGTCACACCCTGGGCTGGTTTGGAGACGGTTGCAAGGAAGTCTCTGGGAAGATTAGCTATTGTTTTAAGGGCTTCAGCCATATGAGATGACCACCATAATCATTCAGCAATGCATAGTAGGGCCAGATCCGATCAGTAGGCAGTTCACTTGTCTTGGGATGTTGGTTGATATTTCCTTTCAGTCAGCAAAATAGAAGCAAGCAAAAATCACACATGGCATTTAGCTCAGCCTTCTTGCTCTCCCCACTGGTAACAATGCACTTGGTGTGAGTCAAAGTCCTTGGGCAATTTCATTTTAAAATGATTCAGCAAGCACAATGATAAACAGACACTACTTTTTAAAATGTTTCCAAAGTTCTCAAACATGACTATGAGAATTTTGCTTCTTCTCACAGACCTTATTCTTTTATGTCATAGCAAAAATACCATTCTTCCGTATGGCATTTAATCTTGGCTTTTCAATTGGGTTGGACAATAAATGTCATATTTCTAAAATAGAATGAATAACAATAATAATGGCTTTTACCCTAAATTTCAGACTTTGCAACATTTCTCTTATTATGATCATCATTTCTGGATTTTTTTATTAAATGTAAACTTAGAAAGAAACACTCAACCACTAACTATGTTGCCTTGATCTGAAGGATATTATAGAAGCAAGAATGTTTGTTTTAGCACACTGGGAAAAATTGGTAGTAGAATTGCGGCCAGGAAGAAATGAAAAGATACATCTAAATTTGGCTTCAGATTCTGATATTTCTGGGTGAATAAATTAATTTAAGTGGGTTTTTTTTTTAATTGAACCCAGGGTATTCCACTGAGCTACAACTCCATTACTTTTTGTTTTTTATTTTTAAGTTTTGAGACAGGGTCTTTCTAAGTCATTAAGTTGCCTAAGCTGAGCTCTCACATGTGATCTTCCTGCCTCAGCCTCTCAGAGTGCTTGAATTACAGGTATGTGTCACCATACTCAGTTTCTTAAGCAAAAATTATTACATATTCTCTGAGTGTTTGTTGCTATGTCATAAAGGGGTTTGTGGTGGGGATATAGCTTAGTGGGAGAATACTTGCTGAACAAGCCCTGGATTTGCACTGAAAAATAAATGATTTGTTTGGACTATTTTAGAATAACTTTTTTTTTTTTTTTTTTGCAGAACCAGGGATTGAACTCAGGCCTTTGCACTTTCCAGGCAAACACTTATTCTACTGAGCCATCTCCCTGGCCCCCAAACTTTTCTTTTTAACATTATCTTAAATTTTTTTTTTTTTTTGCATATCTCAAACTAATCGACATTCAGTCTTCCTCTGCTATGATAGCATGGGGCTTCCTGTCAATATGACAGTGGTCTAAGATTCAAGCAGCTGGAGCCAAGTAACAGAGTACAACTATCTTAGATAATCTGTGAACCTGTGGAACACTTTCTATGTGTGATAAATAATATTTATTGTATAAATCACCCATCATTTTGGGGGTTTTGCTGAATGACATCCCAACTCATCTTAATATGGTTAGGAATACTGCCTGTTTCATAGATAAGAGGACAGAGGCCCAGAGAGGTTGAATAATTTAGCGCAGGCTTCCCATTTAGTAAGTGGAGTTAAAGTTTAAAATTGTAGTGTGTGTGTTTGTGTTTTAT